CAAGACGCCTTCACGAGGCTCGCGGAAAAGAGCAATTAGCGAATGTTTGCACGGTTGGGTAACATCCGTTATGGTCGCCATGCGGTCTCAACGCGTTGTGGGAGTGTCTCTTGTTTCTGTCCAACATAAAAGTAAGTATCAGCATTCCGACTATATTGTTAATATGAATCGTATTGTTATGTATATATGTATATATGATTTTTCAGAAAAACATCAAAAATATAAGAAAGCAATAACATAAACGGCATTGAGTGCTCAATTGGCGCGTGTCGTGATGGGCGTGTACAAACCGAAGTAATTGTACGGTGTCATGAAAACCCATCGTGGCCCACATGTAACACTGATGCACTACAAAATGACGGGCGGCATGGGCGTGTACATTCCCAACGCGTTGTGCGTCGGCATGGGCGTGCGCGGTGGGGTTTGGAGATTTGTTTTTCGAGGCTGTTGATTGGTCCATCCGTGGATTTCATTCCGTGCATAGCATGCGTTCCCTCAATTTTGGACGCCCCCGATCTCAGGCAGCAGCCTTGACGAGGCGTCGCCGCTGGGGCCAGAGCTCCTGGAGCACTTCGGGCTCACGCAGGGCGAAACGCCCGTCGCCCCGGCCGAGGATCGCAGCGAGCTTGACGGGCTTTTTTTGTTCCTCGGCTCGCGCACGAGCGTCCACGATCCGTTCCAGGCTTAATTACCTGGGTACCTCTGGATTGACCTAGATTTCTGTGGGCTTAATTCGATGTATCTGGATGTCTCTCGATCTTGTCCGAGCTATCGAGCAGAATTCCCGCGAGATATGCTCAGCCAGGGGCGAAGCATCGACCCGATCGCACCACCCCGCCCAGGACCATGCGGAGCCGCTATCGGAGGCCCATCGCCGATCTCTCGGCGATTTGTTGCCGATTCCAGCTACACCTCCCCAAGTGAGCTGGCCCGCCCCCACCACGGCGAGACTCGGGCGTTGCGCAATGGGGTGGCGATAAGAGGTGTGGTGGGGGGGGGAGACCGGGGCACCGTTCGTGCCCCTTCACGCGCGAGAGGCGCACGTCTCTCTTCGCCCCCCCCCCGCCGCTCGCCCCCCCCCCCCCACACACACCCCACTGGGCAACGCCCGAGAGGCGCGCCTCGCCCAACCCGCCCAGGACCATGCGGCTTCGCCATCGGGGGCCTGTCGCGTTTCTATCGGCGATGTTTGTCGCCGATTCCAGAGCTCGATCTGGGGAGCAAGGATATCACATAAACATATACGTGTGACGGTCCGCTCGGTTTTTTTTTGCTTGATCTGCGCTGGACCCCCCCCTCCCTTGGCGCGCGGAGCGCGCCAGGGGCGGCGTTGGAGGCGCCGCCAAGGGGGCCTCAGCGCCGATCCGAGAAATCCGCGCGGACCTCCGAAAGTTTCCCCATCAATGCCTCCCCGGTCAATGTCTCCGATTTTGTTCCCCGATCAATGTCCTCCGATCAATGTTTTTGTCAATGTCCCCCGATCAATGTCTCCGATCTTCTTCCCCGATCTCGTTCCCCGATCGATGGCCCCCCCCCCCGAGTTTACGCAATTCATTGTTCCCCGACCGATGGCTCCCCCCTCCCGAGCTGGCCTGCCACCTCGGAGGAGGGAGAAGCGGCACCTCCACCGGGGGGGTCACCTCTTGCAGGGAGGTCCACGATGCCTCCCCGAGCCGTGCGCAGGTGATGCCTCGAGCGAGAGGGGGGGACCACACCACCAGGGCCCCCCCCCCGGCCTCTCCCACTGATGGTCCCTGGTGGTTGTGGTGGTGGTGCCGCGCTTCTCCTTGTCCCTGCCAAGCTCCTCGAGCCCTCGATGCTGGATTTACGTTGGGCCTGTCCCTCTGCAGGGGGGATATTCAGAAATAGTAGAAAATAGTCAGGGGACGACTTTTTGGGGGGATAATTTTGGACTGCGTTTTAACTATTTATTTTTTTCGTCGACAATCCGCCTGTAGGGGGACACGCCCGATCTAATCCTGGATCCCTGATCTTCGATCCTTCCATCCCTCGATCCTCGGTCCCTGGATCCCTCGCTCCCTCGATCCCTGGAGCTGGCCCGCCCCCTCGAGCACCGCCCCCGAGAGGAGCCCGGCGGCGAGGCGCCCTTCCTGCGGCAGCTGGGCGCCGCCTGCGGCGACGGGCAGGAGGCGTCACGGGGGTAACGTCGACCGAGCCGCAGGACTTCCCTGGCATCGCTCGGCGAGAACCATTGAGGACGATCCTGGACCATCGAGCCAAAAAAACACGCACGAAGCCGAAACATGCACGGGAAATGGACGTCCGAGCGATGGCGAGCTTCTCCCGGCGCAGGAGCCAACCACAGGCAGCTGTGAGTGTCGCCGTTGGTGGGTGTCGCCTTCGGTGCGTCTCCTCCTGGAGCCACAGGGCGTGCAAAGGAGTGTGCCGACACTGGGCGGGGCCATGCCGGCGCTGCTGCCAGGGCCTTGTGTATACCTTTTTCCCATACGGGGCCAGGAAACGTGGGGCGGGGCCGCCATGTGAACGTCGCCACTGGCGCCTTTGGTGGAGTTCCCGATGGGGCCACGAAACGTGTAAAAGGGCGTGCCGAAATGGGCGGGGAGGACGCATGTGAATCGCGCCATTGGGGCTTTCGTCGGAGCTCCGCATGGAGCCACGAAACGCGTGAGGGATGTGCTGAAAGAGGCGGGGGGACGCATGCGAACGTCGCCATTGCCTTCGCTGGTGCCCCGTATGGGGCCACGAAACGTACGAGGGGTGTGCCGAAACGGGCGGGGCGGGCGCATGCGAACGTCGCCACTGGGCCCTTCGGTGGAGCTCCCTATGGGGCCACGAAGCGCTGTACTGGCTGGGGCGGACGCATGCGAACGTCGCCACTGGGGCCTTCGGTGGGGCTCCCTGTGGGGCCACGCACTGCTGTACAGGCGGGGGCGGGCGCATGCATTGAGCCACTGGCGCCTTCGGTGGAGCTCCGCATTGAGCCACGAAATGCTGCACTGCGTGGGGCGGACGCTGGGCCCTTCGGTGGAGCTCCCTATGGGGCCACGAAGCGCTGCACTGGGTGGGGCGGGCGCATGCGAACGTCGTCACTGGAGCCTTCGGTGGGGTGCCTATGGGCCCACGAAGCGCTGCTCTGGCTGGGGCGGACGCATGCGAACGTCGCCACTGGTGCCTTCGGTGGGGCGCCTATGGGCCCACGAAGCGCTGCACTGGGTTGGGCGGACGAATGCGAACGTCGCCACAGGTGCCTACAGTGGAGCTCCCTGTGAGGCCACGAGACGCTGCATTGGGTGTGGCAGATGCATGCGAACGTCGCCATGGGAGCCGTGAAGCGCTGTATTGGGTGGAGCGGACGCATGCGGTCGTCGCCACTGTTGCCTTCGGTGGAGCTCCGCATTGGGCCACGAGGTGCTGTACTGGGTAGGGCGGACGCATGCGAACGTCGCCACTGGGGACTTCGGTGCGGGGCCACGAAGCGCTATACTGGTGGGTGGGGCGGACGCGTGCGAACGTTGCCACTTGGGCCTTCGGTGGAGCTCCCTGTGGGGCCACGAAGCGCTTTTTTGGGTGGGGTGGACGCATGCGAACGACGCCACCGGGGCCTTTGGTGAAGCTCCCTATGGGGCCACGCACTGCTGTGCGGGGTTGAGTGGACGCATGCGAACGTCGCCACTGGGGCCTTCGGTGGGGCTTCCTGTGGGACCACGAACCGCTGCACTGCGTGGGGCCTTCGCTGGAGCTCACTATGGGGCCACGAAGCGCTGTGTGTGGGGGGGGGGGCGGGCGCATGCGAACGTCGCCACTTGGGCCTTCGTTGGAGCTCCGCATGGGGACACGAAGCGCTGTACTGGGTGGAGCGAGCGCATGCGAACGTCGCCAGTCGGGTCTTCGGTGGAGCTCCCAATAAGCGTGTGAGAGGTGTGCCTAATTGGTTGGCGTGCGGAGAGCAGAGGCATGCGGGGAAGGAGGGAGGAGAAGGAGGGGGAGGAGGAGGAGGGAGAGCAGGATGAAGAGGAGGGGGGGGAGGGGGAAGAGGATGAGGAGAAACAGGAAGAGGAGGAGGAGAAGGAGGGAGGGAGGAAGGGAACCGCGGGGCGCTGTCCTTCAAACGAGGACCCAACACCACAGGACGGTTGGGAAAGATGTTGGTTTTCACAGACTACTTGAACTTGCTTGTTGGAAGCGGAGGGGAAGAGGATGATCCACGAGATGTGTAAAGCTAATGGGGATCCTGGAACTTATACGTGCCACCCCGCAGTTGCGGATAAGAGTGCAAAGGTGGGGTGGGGGGAGGGGGGCGCCGGCAGTCTGCGAGGCTCGCAAGAAGCCCGCCGAGCCCATCGCAGGTACCGATTTGTTTCGATTAAGCAATGTGGGTGGGTCGCGGGTTGGGTCGTGGATGGGTCGCTGGTGGGTCGCTGGTGGGTCGCGGGCTGGGTCTCGGGTGGGTCGCGGGCTGGGTCGCGGGCTGGGTCTCGGGTGGGCCGCGGCTGGGTCTCGGGTGGGCCGCGGGTGGGTCGCGGGTGGTCGAGGATGATCGAGGGCGGGTTGCGGGGAGGGTCGCGTGTGGGTTGCGGGTGGATCGCCGGGTGTGTCGCGGGCCGGGTCGCGGGTGGATGGCGGGTGGGTCGCGGGCCGGGTCGCGAGCGGGTCGCGGGCCGGGTCGCGGGGGGGACGACGACAACAAACAACAACAAACAACACACATCAAACAGCAAGCAGCAAACAACAAACACAACACTAGCAGCAACAACAGCAGCAGCAACAACAACACCAACACCACCACCACCACCACCACCACCAACAACACCAATCCGCACCGCAGAACCTCACTTCAACTTCAGCCACGCGACCAGGGACAGTGAACGACCCTTCGGCCACCTCGCTTTGGTACATGTTCGTTCGCGTGCCCCTCGGGGGGAGGAGGAGGAGGAGGAGGAGGAGGAGGAGGAGGAGGAGGAGGAGAGGAGGAGGAGGAGGAGGGGGAGGAGGAGGAGCAGGAGGAGGAGGAGGAGGAGGAGGAGGAGGAGGAGGAGGAGGAGCCCCTGCGGAGGTGGACTTCCTGCGCTTCTGGAGCGCCTTCGAGGCCGCCGCGCGCCTGGCCCCGCGCGCCGCGGCGCCGGAGGACGCGCCCCCTGCGCTGGGGGACCGCCTGGTCCGCGAGGCGCGCCGGCTTCGCGCCCCGTCTCGGGAGGCCTCCCTCGAGCCATGCAGAAATCACGAGGGAAGTCAGAGCCCCGAATCATCAGGGGTAACTCGGGTCAGGGATAACTCGGGTTCGTTTTTCGGGAATCCGAACCCGAGTTACCCCGGACCCGAGTTACCCCGGATAACTCGGGCGCCCAAGAAGGTTGTTCTGTATTTTCGGCCTCTGGGGGCCCCCAGCGAGCCTGGGGACCATCAAGCAACGACTCGGGATAAGAGGCCGGTCCCGGGCACTGGGTCGAGACTCCTTTGGCGGGCGAGGTCATGAACAGATCCTGACGTCGGGGGTCTGTGTGTGAGGTAGTTTTCAGATTCCCTGGCGATGACGGGCGTGACTGGGGGGGAGGGGCAGAAAGGGGCTGGTCACGTCACGATTCGTGCCGGCGCCGTCTGGGAATGCTTGTAGGGATGGCGGATTTTCAGGCGACGCCGGCGCGAATCGTGACGTGACCCGGGGGGGGGGATCTCGAGGGGGGGTGGGGACGGTCAAAGGCGCTGTCGCGAATAGATACAAAAAGGACTCCATCCGGCGTCTTGAAGAAATCGAGTCGAGGTGTCAGCCTCGGTGCGATCGGCATGGGCACGGAAAGAATGGGCCCGAAGACCGACAGCATGTCCTGTTCCATCTGAGCAGGACTCGCAGCCAGTGTCGCCGCGGACGTCGTCAATTTGCGACAGCCGCCTGCCCAACAGCGCCTGGTGTCGGTTTTGGACATGCTGGGTTTCTTGTGGAAGGTTTCTTGTGGTCGAGCTCCTACTGTACGTCTGCTGGCCCCCTCATGGGCGGAACACATGCCTCGAGCCATGATTTGCGAACCCCTCTCTTGGACGCCCCCCTCATGGACGCCCCCGTGTGGGCCATGGGAGCCCCTCCCTCTCCTCCCCCTCCTCCCCCACCTCCTCCTCATCCTCCTCTTCCCCTCCCCCTCCCCTCCTCCTCCTCCTTCCCTCTCCTCCTCCTCCTCCTCCTCCCTCCTCCTCCTCCTCCTCCTCCTTCCTCGCTCCTCCCCGCCCTGCCCCCTCCTATTCCTCCCCCCTCCTCCTCCTCCTCCCTCCTCCTCCTCCTCCTCCTCTTCCTCCTCCGCCTCCTCCTCCTCCTCCTCCTCCTCCTTCCTGTTCCTCCTCACGCTCCTGGATCGGATCCGCCCCCGCGGCGGCGACCTGCAGCGGCGCACCGGGCCTCTCCCTGCCTGGTGTCCCCCCATCCCTCGTGCAGCGGCGAAGCGTCCCGACTTGCCCAACTGGGCCGAGCAAACCATGTCCAAAGTGCCTGCTGCGGTCTGCACGAGGTGCTCTTGGAACGTGACTGGCTGAGGCAGCCTCGGCTCCATACGTTGGGCTTGCACGTCCTGGGAGCATTGACTCCGTTCCTGGAGCAGCCTTTGGTTTTGGGAACACCCCGTGGACTGCTGGGCGGCCAAGTCCCTGCTTAGCTTCCCGCGGGCATCGCGAGAGGTGGGCCTCGTCCGCGACGAGGTGCTGCGGCGCGCCTCGCTGGCCGGGGGCATGGAGCGCCTGACGGCGGCTACGCTCTTGGAGGCCCCGCGGCTGCGAAGACGGCCTTGACGGCGACGGGCAACGACGCCAGCGCCAAGGCGAGGGCGACGGCGCCGCGGGCGACGGCCGCGGCGACGACAACGGCGCCACGGATGCGCGACGAGGCCTGTTGACGGCGGCGGCGACGGCGGCCTCGCGGGGAGGGTGGCCTGCGACAGCCGCAGAATCGGCGGCTGCAGCGGCAGCGACAGGGACCGAGCTGGGCGAAGGGCGGATGAAGACGGGAAGGATGAGCAGGAGGAGGAGGAGGAGGAGGAGGAGGAGGAGGAGGAGGAGGAGGAGGAGGAGGAGGAGGAGGAGAAGGAGTGAATGAGGAGGGGGAATGGCACCCTCCCGCGAGGTCGCGGAACAGGGGTGGCTGAGCACAGAGGGAGGCATATCCAAGTCACGGAGCTCTCTAACCGTGTGCGCGTGTGTATGTGTGCGTGGGTGTGTGGCAGCGGTTGCCGCTCACTACGCAGAGTGGCTTCATCCGCATCGCTGGGTGCAATGAACACTAACATGGCCCGTTATTGTTCATCGTGACTTTGGTGTATCTTTGCCATCGGAGGGAACAGTATGACAGCAGTTGTTGCGCCAGCTAATTCACAGCTCAGCCGTCGGCTGCGCTCGGCGCTCGCTTGGAGCCGTGTCTTCTGCATGTGCCCCAAAGCGAGTCAGGTGGGTAATTCTGACACGCTGTGCCCCTGGCGGGTTATCACCGCTGGCTGCAGCTCACTGGCGCGTCGGAGGAAACGTGTCTGTGTGTGCGCCCCGGCGCCCCGGCGCCCCCCCGCCGCGGCCTGGCCCCGCTCTGAGAGGGCCCGGCTTCCGTGTCCCTCCCGCCCGCGCCGGGCTTCCCCACCCTCCACACGTGCATTGCGGTTTAATGAGCACTTGTATGCATTAGATTTGCCCCATCCGCCAGCGCAGTCACTCTGCCTAGCCGCCGACGCAAAAAGTGTGTGTGTGTGTGTGTTTGTGTGTGTGCGTGTGCGTGTGCGTGTGCGTGTGCGTGTGCGTGTGCGTGTGCGTGTGCGTGTGCGTGTGCGTGTGCGTGTGCGTGTGCGTGTGTGTGTGTGTGTGTGTGTGTGTGTGTGTGTGTGTGAATGTGTGTGTGTGTGCGTGTGTGTGTGTGTGTGTGTATGTGCGTGTGACAGAGTGTGTGTGTGTATGTAACGCGACGTGAGTTTGGCCTTGCTTTTCTGGGTGCTTGGCCTTCCCCGCCGCCGCTCTGGACCTGCCCAGAGCGCCAAAGAGAACAGCTGGAGAGTAGGGCGGGGGAGGGGTTCGACGAGAAGGTCCTGGATGGAGGGGGGTGTTGGGGAGCATGAGGAGTGAAAGGAGGAGCGGGTGGGGCAGGGGGGAGGATGCGGAAGAGGAGGGGAAGCGGGAGGACCGTGAGGCGGAGGGGGTGCAGACGCGGGAGCAGGAGAAAGCGGACAGAAGTATAGTCCCAAGGTGCTCCGCTGACGTTGCGGCACGCCTCCCGGGGCCCATTCCTCACTGAGTCTACACTCGTGCTCCATTCCGTTACGGGGAGCGCCCTTGGCAGACGGGCGCCCCATCGTCCTGCCATCCAGGCGAGGCCTCGGATTTCAAGGGAGGGCCAGCCTCCAGACTCCCACCTATGAGATATGTGAAGACGCAGGGTGTGCGCTCCGATCCCAAAGTTTAGAAGGGTCAGGCTAGCTGCAACCGCATGGCAATCACGAGCCGCCCTTCGCCCGCGTGAGTGTTGGGCATGGTTAAGCTTTTCGCCATGCATGCATATCCGAGTGGGGTCCTAAGCGCGACCCCAAAAATTGGAAGCGGATCGGCCCACGAGCTGTGTTCTCATCGCATACAATGAGCCTCTCATCGCTAAACATGAGGTGGCGTCGAGCGATCGCCCAGTTCTGAACAAGAACCGCCCTCCATCCGCTTGGCAGCTCAGTCGTTTGAGACGGGTGCGTGATGCAGTAAGGCGAGAGTCAAAGTTTGAATACAATTCGCCCGCATCTATCCATCAGTGTAATTGCCAGGTGCTTCAGACGAGTGCGCGCGGCGTGAAGGCAATCGACTTTGGAGAACCACTTGCCGCCCCATCCGTGTGGTTGCGACGATCCTTTAAGACAAGTGAGCGCGGCGCTAAGGCGAGAGCCACATGCTGGCACTACATGTGCTCGAACCGTGCAGCTGTTGATATCCAAGTGTCAGGGTAATCCTAGCTCACCCGATCCACGCGTGTGATATTGCGATGAAGAGGGTAGCTAATAATGAGTAGTTAGGGATTTATTGGCGGCGGTGCTAAAGATACTGGAAAGTGAATGCGCAGGAGGAAGGGGGAACTAATAGGGTTCGTCGAAAGAGAGAAGAGAGGAAGAGTCTCCAGAAGGACGCGGAGGATGAGGTGGTGCAGGGAATGGATGCGGGAGTAGCGATTGGAAACCAGATGGCGAGGAGGATGCGGATGATGAGCAGGAGGTTGACCAGGAAGATTCTATAGATCAGAAAGATATCAATAAGGAGGAAAGGTAGGGAGGAAATGGAGCAGTGGGGGGAAGCAGAGGGCGACGTGGATGACGAATAGGGAGAGGAGGGAAAGGATTAGAGGGGGAAGGGAGGCGACGTGAAGGGCAGGGAAAAGACGGGAGTTCGAAGATGAGAGGAGGGAAAACAGGAGAAGTGGGAGATGGATGGGGTCGAAGAGGAGGGGGATGAAAGGGAGAGTAAGTGAGCGGGGGACGGTGGTGGCGATTGAGGGGAAGGAGGGGGAGCGGGAAGATGGGGAGTAGGAGGAGGAGGTGGAGGAGGAGGAGGAGGAGGGATCGGGAAGGAGGAGGATGAGGAGGAGGAGGAGGAGGTGGATGAGAAGGGATTGAGAGGAGGAGAAGAAGGGAGGAGGAGGAGGAGGTGGAGGAGGAGGGAGCGAGGAGGAGGAGGAGGAGGAAGAGGAGGAGGAGGAGTGGAATGAAAAAAAGAGGGGGGAAGATCGCAGGACCACGATCAGGAGGACGAGGAGGTGGAGCAGAAACAGCAGGATCAGCAGGTGGAGGAGGAGGAGGAGGAGGAGGTGGTGGAGGAGGAGGAGGAGGACGAGGAGGACGAGGAGGACGAGGCGGAGACCCCCAGGGGAAGCACAGCGGGAGCAGGACAGGAAGGCAGAGGAGATGCGCGGTGGCCGGAGCCCGAGCAGGAGCGGGAGAGGAGCGAGGAGACGCAGGCGGCGACCGAGGAGGAGCGGGGGGGCCGCGAGGAGGGCCGCGAGGAGCAGACCGACGGGCAGGCACGGAGTCCGGCGGCCGGGCCCGCGGGCACCGAGGGACCGCCCCAGGCCCGAGGCCCGACGCCGCGAGCCCCGCGGGCCCCCGGAGCACCGTGGAAGCTCGCGAGCCAGGCCCCCCGCGAGCAAGGAGAGAACATTGCAGCGGGAGGTGTTGCGCAGTCTGCGGCCTCAGGGGGCCCCGGCCGGGCCTCGGGATCGCCAGACAGCGAGTCGGGATGCCAGAGCCGGGCCCGGGGCGCAGATCCAAGCCTCTGGGGGTCGACGTCATGAAGGAATCAGGCCGCTGGGGGTCTGGGGGACCGTGTCTCTCTCTTCGACGCCACGTTGCTCGTGCCAGGCCGATCATCTGCGAGGGCCCTGGGGCCCGAAACTGGGCGAGAGAGTGCCCGACGGCCGCGGACGGTCGGGGACCCTGGGCCGCTCTCCGAGGACGAAGCGGCGGCCGCGTTGGGCCCCCCGGACGTCCCCAGACCGCGCGATTACGTCTTCGGGGAGTTCGAGGTCACCGCACGGTCCCCAGGCACCCGTCGTCGTGGTTTTTGTTCATGACTCGAGGTGGTTTGGGTCTGTCGACGCACCTTTGGAGCCGCAGCGATCTCTCCGAGCCGCGCGCCCAGAGCGCTGCCCCCGAGGCCGCGCACGCCGCCGCGGAGGAGTCGGAGGCGCCCGAGTTCTGGCGCTCCACGGCGGCGTCCCTTAGCGCCTGCGAGGAGCGGCGGGGCGCCCTGCAGGCGACGGCCGCCTGGCCCTGGGGCCGGCTGCACGTGAGAGCGACCCTGCGCTGGAGAGACCCCTGGTTTTATAGGCCTATGCCAGATGGGGTCGGAGTGGATGGGGTCGGAGGATCGCGCCGCATCGCCGATGCATCGCCGATGCGGATCGATGCGGAGCCCGATTTTCCCCGCGCCGGCGTCGCCGATGCATCGTCGATGCGGCGCGATCCTTCGACCCCCATCCACTCCGACCCCATCGGGGAGGGCCAGGCCCGAGCAGACCCGGGCCGGAAAACCGGCGCAGCCCGCGTGCACGATCGGCGGGGGAGCGCGGGCCCGAGAGGCCGCCCCGCACCCCCCCCTTTGCCCCCTGGGGGGCGCCGCGTGCGCTTGGCGCGCGGCTGGCCGAGGGCCCCGGCGGGGGTCGCCCGCGGGGGGGGCCGCGGGGGGGGGGGTCGCGCACCAGGGGTCGAGCTCCCCAGACCCCCGCTTGGAGCCACGCAGCAGATCACGACGAGAGGCTTTGCCTTATTTTCGGCCCCGGGGGGCCCTCTCCTTATTTTCGGCCTCGGGGGGCCCTCGGGGGGCTTCTCCTTATTTTCGGCCTCGGGGGGGGATGCGCGGAGGGGGCGCGCACCAGGGGTCGACCCATCCAGGTCCCCGTGGAGCCATGCAGCAAATCACGACGGGAGGCTTTGCCTTATGTTCGGCCTCGGGGGGCCCTTCACTGGGCCTGCAGACCGTCAAAAAACGGTCCCCCAGACCCATCCAGACCCCAGACCCAGACCCCAGACCCATCCAGACCCCCCCAGACCCATCCAGCCTGCAGTTACCCAGACCCATCCAGACCCCCGTGGAGCCATGGAAGAGATCACGACGGGAGGTTTCTCATTATTTTGGGCCTCGGGGGGCCCTTCACCGGGCCTGCAGGCCATCACAAAAAGGCATGGGATGAAGAGCCGGTCCTGGGGAAGGGGTCGAGACCTCGGGGGGGGGATGCAATGAAAACAAAAAACATGACCTCGGGGGGCGACCTGAGTAAACGGCTCGTTTGGGCGATCTTCTGGGCCGTCTTCTTTTTTTCGACTTCGTCTGGCCACGAAAGAAAACCCGATCAGAGACAAAAACACGAGGGACAGCACGAAGGCAGAACGAAAACGAGACATGGTTTGCGTCGGCGGCTAGGCAGAGTGACTGCGCTGGCGAGTGGAGCGAAACGGGGCAAGCGTTCAGCGAATTGCGCCACCATGCAGGAGGGAGGGGAGGAACGACGACGGGGCGACGGCTGAGGCAGGGAGAGACGAAAACGAGACACACACTCTTTTGGTCGAGCCCTGCCGCGCACCCTGCGTGTTCGCAGCACGCGCGGTGTGGGCGGGAGGGTTCTTCTCGCCCGGGGGGGGGGGAGGGGGAGACTGCGGGCGGGGGGTCCGCGCCTCGAGGAGCGGCGGGGGGGGCGCGAGGTGCCACCTCCTCCTCCTCCTCCTCCTCCTCCTCCTCCGCCTCCCCCTGCTCTCCTCCTCCTCCTCCTCACTCCTCCTCCTCCTCCTCCTCCTCCTCCTCCTCTCCACCTCCTCCTCCTCCTCCTCCTCCTCCTCCCCCTCCTCCCTCTCCCTCCTCCTCCTCCTCCTCCCTCCCTTTCCCTCCTCCCTCCCTCCCTCCTCCCTCCTCCCCCCTCCTCCTCCTCCTCCTCCTCCTCCTCCCTCCTCTCCTCCTCCTCTTCCTCCTCCTACTTCCTCCTCCTCCTCCTCCCTCCTCCCTACCCTCCCTCCTCCCTCCTCCCTCCTCCTCACCTCCTCCCCCTCCCCCTGCTCCTCCCGTGCTCCTCTCCTACCTCCTCCCTCCTCCTCCTCCTCTCCCTCCTCCTCCACCCCCCCCCCTCCTCCTCCTCCTCCTCCTCCTCCTCCTCCTCCTCCTCCTCCTCCTCCTCCTCCTGATGTCGGCGCCCTCGAGCGAGGGGCGCGCCGCGTGCGGCCCCAGCAGCGCGGTGCGAGGAGCGGCGGTGGCGCAGAGAGGCGGCGGCTCACCGCCCGAGGCTGGTCGGCCGCCCCGTGCTTCAAGTCGGGCACGTCCCTCTGCAGGAGGAGTATTCAAACAGAGTAAAAAAACTAGTCAGGGGACGATGTTTCGATTATTCTCTATGTTTTGATTATGGTTTGATCATATGTCCTTGTTCTTCCAAAGGCTGGGGCCGATGTTTCGACCATGTTTGACAATTTTTGTACATGTTTTTACAATGCTGCATTTTTCTTCCAAAAACCCGCCTGTAGGAGGACATGCCCGACCTGACCCGTGCCCTTCTTCACGTCTGATCGGCGCGTCTTGCGCGTCTCCTGTTCTCGCCCTCTTCGTGCTTTTCTGTCTCCAGCCTGCGAGCGGGCCCCACCCCCTGCCCCCGGAAGGCGCCGTGGAAGAGGCGAACTTGGGACGCCACTCGGAGCGTGGAGCATCCGGGTGGACGCCACGAGACGGAAAGCGCGGAAGACATCTTCTTTGAGGTCCTGAGGAGGGGTGAGCCTCTTGGCTGGAGTGGCCGAATTACCAGGAAGCCGGGTACGCGTGACGCGGCAGGCCTGGGCGAGAGCTCGATACACGTGCGGCCAGATGTCTCTCCGGTGCTCGGCCCTTTCAAGGGCCAGGTACGCCGGGGCGCGTGGGTTTCGGGTGTTCCATATGTGAATCCAACCATGTTTTCTGTTCCGTTTTCCTGGTTTCCTGGTTAGGGTCGCCTAGGTAGGGCCGCGAGTGGCCTGCCCATCTCATCGGATCTCCCAACACCTCCAATGTCGTGTTCTGCTCGCAGCGTGGACCCTTTGGAGATCTCTTGTAGATCTCGACCCCTTCCAGCCGACCCGAGGTATTTTCTGGCGGTCCCCCGCGGCACAGAAGGTCCCCCGGGTACCGAAAAAATGCAAGAGCTGGCCGCCGCGATTTCGTCCCGGCGCGGGGGGGAGTCGGGGCGTAATTCGGGAATGTCCCTGTACAGGAGGAGTATTCAAGAATAGTAGAACGAATTGTCTGGGGACGCCTTTTCGTGCTCTTTTGACTGCATTTGAATGCTGCTTTACCATTTCTTCCTTCCAAGATCCCCCTGTAGGAGGACATGCCCGCCTTCTCCCGGTGCACCTTGGCAAATCACTGGCCTCGACATGCCCAGACCCCCTCGAGTCATGAACAAACATCACGACGGAGGACTTGTCGCTATTTTCGGCCCCTCGGGGGGCCCTCACGGGGCCCCGGGACCGTGAAAACACGACGAAACCGGCCCCGTGGAAGGGGGTCGAGATCTCGGGGGGTCGACGCCAGGAACGAAACCATATGACGTCGGGGGTCTGGGCAGACCACGTAATTAGCGAGCGAGCCAGCTCCCAAAAGGAGGTGTTCGAGCTGGACGCGGAGCGCCTCACCGTGGTGCTCCTCTCCTGGCTGCGGGAGGCGGCGCTGTGGCGCCCAGCCCCCGAGGCCGCCGCCGACCCAGACGGCGCGGCACGGGGGCCCCGTCGCCAAGACGCGCCTTGCCGTCGTCGCCATCGCCGCCATCGTCGCCGCCGCCGTCCCCCTCCTCCTCCTCCTCCTCCTCCTCCTCCTCCTCCTCCTCCTCCTCCTCCTCCTCCTCCTCCTCCTCCTGCCCGCTCGGCGCCCGAGCGGGCTCGGCGCCCGAGCGCCCGCTCGGCTGCCGAGTGGGCCAGCCTTCCATCGCCGACTCCTGGCACTGAGCCGGTGCTGAGGCTGCCCATCGGGCTGCCGAACCGGCCCAGGCGCTGAGCGCGCTCCGGAGGCGACCCGTGCCCTCTCCGCCGACGTCGCAACTTCTGGTGGCGCCGGCCACCGGATCTCGACACGCTCCTCAGGGCCGGCGTTTCATCCTGCACTGTCTCTCGACGGCCCCGCAGGGGGAAAGGAGACCGAAGACAAGTCGGGGGTGGGCAGAAGCCCCACCCTGGCACGTCGATCAGTGAATTGTCCGTTGTCGGTTCTCGAGAGGGCGCCGCGGCCGTCATTTCCCAGGCTTGCGCCCGCCAGGTTTGGGCCCGAGGTCCTTTTCACTAAACCACGTGTGACTAAAGGGGTTTCTGCCCGTCCCCGAACAAGGAGGAACCGGCCGCCGCGCTGGTTTCTGCGCCGCCCGGATCTGCGGGGCCCTCGGGTGGTCGTCGTCGTGGCCCTGCCCGCCGGCTCGAGCGCGCGCGCGCCCGCCCGCGCCCCGCGCGCCCTGTGCCGGCGGAAGAGCTCCGCGCGCGCGCGCGCCGCGCGCGGGGAGGCGAGCGCGTGCGCGGCGCCCGCAGGCCCTGCCCGGGGCGGGGGGGGGGTCGGGCCGCGGGGAGCCGTGGGGCCGGGCGGAAGCCGGCGCCTGCCAGGAGAAGCTCGGACGCTGGAGTCCTCCCGGGTTCGGGGCGGCGCAGTCCGAATCACCGCCCTCTCAGGAGGGGAAGAAACACAGACACAATTAATCTTCGATTCCCCAGGAAATAGGGGAAAATATGGGAAGTGGGGGGGAAGACACAGACCCAGAAAATATGGGAAAATATGGGGGATCTTTTTATTTGTGTGTATTTATTTGTGTGTCCCAGGGCCCCTTCGCCCTCGCCGATCAGGGAGTTGGGCAATCCGATGGGCGGCGGCGGGGACAGGGTTCGGGTTCGGAGTCCGTCGAAGCCGTGGCAAAATCCGAACCCCACCCCCGCCCCCCCTTTCGATTCAGGAGAGTCGATGGTTAGTGAGGGTGTGGCGTACAGTTCGGATGTGCCACCTACAGATGGGGTCAGAGCATGGGTCGGAGGATCGCGCCGCACAGCCGATGCATCGGCGATGCGGCTCGACGTGGAGCCCGATGTTCTCCATGCCGACGTGGCTGATGCGTCGCGATCCCCCGACCCCAGCTGCTCGGACCCGGACCCCATCTGGGAGGCCTCTAGAGGAGCTCAAAGCTCAGACACTGGGAGGAGGGCGGAGACAGCGGTAGTTGGCCTTCGGGAGGGGGTGGTTACCTCGTCATTGCTGCTGGGCGCAGCTCAGAGAGAGCGGATGCGTTCGGATCGCCCGCGGGCGCGCGGAGACGGTCGCGCGTCGCGCGTCGCGGTCAGGGCCAGGGCGGCGGCCCTTCTCCGAGGGCGGCGCGAGGGCTCTTGGGCACGGAGAGAGTCGCGCCTCGCGCACCACGGGGCGCCCCTGCACGAAGGTCGGTGGCCTGGGATTTCCCAGATCTCCGGCGAGCTGTTCCTTTGTTCCATCCCAGCGTCTGCCCTTAAGGAGGATGACGATTCATAAATGACCGGGGGTCGTGTTCACGCGGCGGCGCCAGGGAGGACGATTAGAAAAAACCGGCCGTGGGCTGGAAAACTATTTTTTTATCGTTCTCCTCCAGTCAGAAAATGATGCAGAAATAGCAGACAACTATTTTTTAATCGTTCTCTCCCATTTTTTTATTAATCGTCATCCCGCATTCCCTTCTCTGCCTCCGAGGCCCGTTGTCGGGCCCAGGGGCCATCACAACTGGATCCGTGACGAGGAGCTGCCCGTGGAGGAATGGGTCGGGACCCCCGGGGCCGCGCATTGAAAACACGTATCGTCGGATGTCTGGGCCTGATGTCTGCTAGGTTCTAGCAGGCCCCCTCCCCAAGCGTGGCGCCAGTGAGACGGAGGGCGCCGAGGGCGGCTTTTTTTGTTCGAGGTCCCGGATGAGGAAGGGGCCAGGGTTAGTCGATGATCCTCAGGACGCGTGTTCGATGGGCAAACACAAGTTGGGGCTAACACACATTCAGAGGATCATCGAGTTTGCCTGGCGACCAGGTTAGCTAGAGCGGTCTACCAGGAAGCTGGATATGTGCACAGGACACGGCTGGCCCGGGTGAGAGCTGGATACACATGGGCCCGATGTCACTCCAGCGCTCGGGACAAATCATCTCCTTTTGGGGAGGGATCGAGAGCTGGAGCGGGCGCTGTCTCACGATCAAGGTGCGAATCGCGGGAAAACAGCCGACGATTTGTCCGCCCCGCGGCGATGCAGAAGTCGGCCCGCGCCGCATGCGAAGCCTGCGCCGAGAAAAATAAGCCCAGGGCCTGGGACTGGCTCCGATGAGCGAGGAGCAACGCACCACATACTTGTAAACCTTGTCTTCGAGAACTTCTTGGGTGGGCGCTGGGCTCGCCTTGGGGGCGCCTCTGGCGCCGCACCTGGCGCGCTCCGCGCGCCCGGGAAGGGGGGTCCAGCGCCGACCCAATAAGTCTCGATCCAGATTTCGGAAGTTTATGCTAATGCAGTTTTCTGTTTTCTAGATTTCAGCACTTGCAGGGGGCCCTCGGTGCTATCGGTACGCCCGCGTCGCAGTCGATCGCGCGTGGTCTGTTTGGTTCGGTCGGTTGTCGTGTGTCGCTGCTGCGTCGATGCACCCTTTCACATGGGCTGGGCCCAGTCCGTCGACTTCGGTTTCGGTTTCGGTGCTGGTGTCTGCTCGGCCGACTTTCGGTTCAGTTGTCCGCCGCGTTTCGGCACGACGGGCCGACCTTCTTCCCGTGTCCCACGGCGTCAATTTCCTGGGCCGTTCCCAGCCTCTGGCTCCGCGCAGCGGAGCGACGCGGATTCTGGTTGCAAGGCATCCAGCGCGTCGCCAGGGCCGGCGCCGCGATGCGCCCAGCGATCGAGGGTCTCCGGCCGGGTGTCCTTGATCCCCCTCGATCCTCGGTCCTCCTCCTCCTCCCCCGCGCGCCGCCCCCGCAGGGGATGATGCCGGGCACCCCCGGCGGGGGGGCGCCGTCCTGCCTCCCCTCCGACGACCTGTCGCACTTCGAGAGGCCCGAGGGCGGGTGAAGCGAGGGGGGGGACGGGGGGGTTGCCGCTGCTCCAGGCCTCCCGAAGGGGTGCGGGAGTGGATGGGGTCGGAGGGTCGCGCCGCACCGCCGATGCATCGGCGATGCGGCTCGATGTGGAGCCCGATGTTCTCCAACCCGGCGTCGTCCATACATCGACGGTGCGGCAAGTCCTCCAGAGCCTGCCCGATGCGGCTGGTTTGGGCCTCGTCTCGTGGCGGGAGGCGTCTCCAGAGTCGTGTCCTCGCCCTCTGGGCTCTCCCAAGCCGCGGCCCCCTGCATCCACAGGGCGGATTTGCGCGGATGTCTGCGCAGCGTGATATGTGTGCACTGCACAGTGGAAGCCCATGCCAATAAACACCCTGCTTGCCTCCAGGGAGCCCTGGGTTTCTTAGGCTTCGATGGTTTTGCCATGGAGAGCGTGACGTTCCCATACTAACAAATTATCCCAGTGCGACCCTACCTAGGAGTTGGAGCCCCTAGGAAAGCAGCATTAGTAGTAACAGTAAAGCTAAGCCAAAGCTAAGCTAAAGCTACGCTGAAGCTAAGCTAATGCTAAGCTAAATCTAAGCTAAAGTTAAGCTAAAGCTAAACTAAAGCTAAGCTAACACTAAGCTGAAGCTAAGCTGAAGCTAGTTAAGCTAAAGATAGGGAGCTAAGCTAAGCTAAAGCTAAGCTAAAGCTAAGCTAAAGCTAAGCTAAAGCTAAGCTAAGCTAAGCTAAAGCTAAGCTAAAGCTAAGCTAAAGCTAAGCTAAAGCTAAGCTAAAGCTAAGCTAAAACTAAGCTAAAGCTAAGCTAAAGCTAAGCTAAAGCTCAAGCTAAGCTGAAGCTAAGCTAAAGCTAAGCTAAAGCTAAGCTCCCAAGGGACTGGGGGAACCGCGGGGCGGATACTGGGGGAACGCCTGGGGCGCCCGGGGCGCGTGCCACTGGCCCGGCCCCTTAAGCCATACGAGTAAGGAACCCTTCTAGGGCAGAACCTAGTAAGGGAATCAAATGGATGTCACTGGGGTTCAGGGTTGGTTTCTTTGGTAAGGTGTCTTGTGGTCGAGCCACTGTTTATGTGTAATATATAATTTAATTTTATAACTATTAGATATATCATCATAATATATTAAACATTATATCAATTGTATAATATATATATATAATCTAATTTATAAATATTTTTATAATTATTACGGCATAGTTAAAATTATTTCTTCTTTATAAATGTACATTTATATATTAAACCTAATATAATAATATAATATATATATACACACATACATGGATGTATATGTATACAGGGACGTGCTTCCGAGTCCACGCTGCGAGGGCATGGATATGCACATGCTCGTCGCTTGCGACCCCTGCCGCGCGCGCTCCTCGGTGCACCCTCCGCAGCCGACGCCAGGCTGGCGCCCCTGGCAGGCCCGCGTGCACGCGCGGCCGATTCGCCCCCCCCCCCTTTTTTTCGGCCAGTGTAGGAGGGCGGTCGTTCGGATGCAACTCCTGGCAGGTTCCATTCAGCATCGGCGCTGATTCATCTGCGATCGAAGTCCAGACCCCTTTTTTTTTCGGCCAGTGCAATTGGGAGGGCGGTCGTTCGGATGCCACTCCTGGCAGGTTCTCATTCAGCATCGGCGCTGATTCCATCCGCGAGCGAAATCCAGACCCCCTCGAGCAATGACAGAAATCACGACGGGAGGTTTTGAACCATTTTCGGCCTCTGGGGGCCCTTACTGGGCCTCAGGGCCGTCAACACACGACTCGGGATGAAAAACCGGTCCTGGGGAACAGGTCGAAACCTCTGGGGGTCGATCCATGAACAATCATGACGTCGGCGGATTTGGTCATGACTGACCGAATCCGCGTGAATCCCGTTGAATCCCGTTCAGTCCCGCTCACCCTGTCTTCATATCGGGCTGAAGCCTGGGCGTTCTCCGCTTCAGTGGCCCCTCATGCAGGCAGCATGGCTTCCAATCGTTCTTGCGAATGCATCCCAGGAGTTGCCTCCGACCGGAATTTTCCGTTCGACTTGCATCGAATCTATCTTGGCGACCAGCGTCCACTAGACCTCAGTAGCGCCCAACAGCGTCCAAAGAGTTCGCAGGAGGGATATGCCTTACGTCCGCTTGGCGCGCTGCCGGGTGCTCTTGGACGCGCCAGTGGGCGCCATGATGGAAACGACTAAACGCATCCGCAAGTTGCTCTAACATCCCCCACCCTGCTCCACCATCCGACAGGCGCGAGCAGGAGCTCCTGGCGCTGAACCAGGAGAGCCCGGCCCTTTCGCTGGCTGCCCGGCGCGCGCTCTCGCGCGCGCCGGCGCGCGCGCGCCTCCGCGGAGGATGGGGAGAGGAGCTGCAACAGGCCCCACCAGGCTGTGGGGCCCGCTGAGCCTTTGGTCGCCTCGCCTCGGCATCGCACGAAAAAGAAGGAGGAGGGAACGGGGAGGAAGGAAGCTCACCCTCGCTGCTTCTCGCCTGCCGTGAACGTGACCCGTAAGCAAGAGGGCCCGAAGCCAGGGTACAACAACAACAACAACAACAACAACAACAACAACAGCAACAGCAGCAACAACAACAACAGCAGCAGCGACAACAGCAGCAACAGCAGCAACAACAGCAGCAACAGCAACAACAGCAACAACAAAAACAAACACTGAAACAAACACAACAACCAAAACGTGCTGTGCAGCGCGACAGGGACAGCGCCGTCCCGGCCCGCAGGATTCGGAGGACGACGGCGAGGACACGAGCACAGAGGGGGGGGGGTGGGGGGCGAACGACGAGGCGACAGGGCAGAGGACATCCAGGGCACGTAAGGCTGCCGGGGCGGCGAGGCGTGCCGGGCTCGCACGCCCGTGCGCGGGCAGCCCTGCCTGCGCTCTCGAATCGGGGCTGGGCACGGGCAGAGTGCGGCTGTGACGAGGACCTGCCGCAGGAGGCGCGAGGAGGGAGGAGATGGGAGGAGGAGGGGAGGAGGAAACGGGAGCGGCAGGGGGGGGGGGGGAGGGGGGACGAGCAGGGAACACGGTGGAGGCGCTGCTCCAAGAGGGCGCTGCTCCAAGAGGGCGATCTCCCATTCGAACTTCCTCCTCGTCCCTCTCCTCCTCCTTCTCCTCCTCCTCCTTCCTGCTGCTCCTCCTCCTCCTCCTCCTCCTCCTCCTCCTCCTCCTCCTCCTCCTTCCTCCTCAAAGTCGTGGTCCTCCTCCTCCTCCTCCTCCTCCTCCTTCTCCTCGACGTGGGATGAGCTCTTGGCGTTGGGCCACGGAGGCAGGCCGCACCCCTGGACGCGTGCACGCGCGCAGCCCTCCCGGGCCGTGGGGGGAGCAGCAGCCGCCCGCGCCTCCCGCGGATGCCCCCGCACGCCGCCGCCGCGCCCGCACCTCCGCTGGCCTGCTACCCCCCGTGCGGAAGAACAGTGAAACGCAGCAGGTGCGTGTTCAACACGTCAGTGTTAACACGTTGCGTGTTGGCTCGGTGCGGGAGCGTTCTGACCCCTGAGCCGCCCGCCCCGTTCTTGCTTTCCTTCGGCCGCTTCCCTCCTCCCTCCTCCTGCATGTTGGCACAATTCGCTCCAACGGAACATCCGCTTATACCTTTATCGCCAGCGCCGTCACCCTCTGCACAGCCGCCGACGCTAAAGAGTTGGTTCGGCGCGTGTTGGTCCACGTTCTGGCGGAGAGGTCGCGCCGGACGCACGTGTTGAGTCTACGTATTGAGCTTTGTATCAAGACGCTACGGGCTGCGCGTTGCTCACCGGAGCGCCGCCTAAGGTGCGCACGTGATCCGAGGCTGGGATCTACGGTTGGGAACTGCGGCTTCGCGTGTCCAGCTCTGGCCCATCACGCTTCGGCGCGACACGCCATCCACTTCCCAGTCCCCAGGCTTCTCAGCATCCGAGCCTTCCCGAGCCTCCCGCAACGCGGAGCGGAGCGGCACGCCATCCGCTTGCAGGGCATAGCGTGCCACTGGGGCCGCCGCCGCGACACGCTGAGCAAAAGCTCCTGACCGCACGAGGAGCCGATCTGCCTGGACCTCCGAGAGCTGGTGGATGTGGACATATCTGGTCCCCATGGGGCCCGAATTTATCCACATCGGCCGCCTCCCGAGGCCCAGTTTCCAGGCAGACGTGCAGCGCCTTGCTTTGCCTCTGGCCAGCCAGAAGACAGCCCCGACCACCCGGGTGGAGCTGAGCTGAGCCCGTTCGACTGCCCGTCCAGCGGCCGAGGGGGCTCGAGCACCGAACGGGCGGGTCGGCCGAGAGGGAGACCCTTGCGCAGGGGAGTGGTCCGACGCCGTAGGAGAGCAAGCTCCGTTCACCGAGCGCGGTGCGCTGCTCGCGAAGGGCCTACCCGCAAACGTCCGCAGAAGAAACACACGTCTTCCTATATGTCATGGATCGTAAGTCCCCCGCGGCGGATCCAGGCCATTCGCGAGTAATTCCCTTTCGCGCTTGTCTATCCATCGGGTCCTGCGTATGACCATAGTTCTCGGCCTCACCTTCGCATCTGATGCTTCAGGTCGAGGGAGAAGAGCAGGAGCAGGACCCATGCAGTAGAAACCCATGCCAAGAAACACCCTGCTTGCCTTCAGGGTGCCCTGGATTTCTTCTGTGTTCGATGGTTTTGCGATGGGAAGCGTGACGTTCCTACACCACAAAGCAATGAACGTCCTGGGGTCTCAGGGTTGGGCTTCCTGTGGAAGCGAAGGCTTCTTGTGGTCGAGCTCCTAAGTATTGTGCGCCCGACGCCGAGGCTCACCCGTGCCGCTTTCTCGTCCCAGGGCCGCTTTCCCTTCCAGGAGTCGTTTTTTTACCTAACAGCGAAGACTGATAGGTTTCTAGTTGACTCAAAAGAGCTCACAGATCACTCCACAGGGGGGTCCGGGCAGGCGTTGGGAGTTGCCGGCCGGCAGGGTGCCGGGCCTGTGCCGGGCTCGTTTTTCACCAACAGTCACACACTTCGTGCTCGTCGACCTCTCAGAACCCCATTCCCAGGCCACATTCTGAATAACCGGATGCAACAGTCACACACTTGGTGCTCCTTGACCTCCCAGAACGCCATTCCCGGGCCACAGTTTGAATGCCCGGAGCCAACTGTAGGCCACTTCGTGGTCTTCGAGTCCCCAAAACTCCATTCCCGGGCCACATTTTGAATGCCCGGAGCCAACTGTAGGCACTTCGTGGTCTTCGAGTTCCCAGAACTCCATTCCCGGGCCAGATTTTGGATGCCCGGAGCCAACTGTAGGCCACTTCGTGGTCTTCGAGTTCCCAGAACTCAATTCCCGGGCCAGATTTTGGATGCCCGGAGCCAACTGTAGGCCACTTCGTGGTCTTCGAGTTCCCAGAACTCCATTCCTGGGCATGAATTTGAATGCCCGGAGCCAACTGTAGGCCACTTCGTGTTCTTCGAGTTCACAGAACTACATTCCCGGGCCACATTTTGAATGCTGAGGCAGGCTGAGGCTGAGGCTGAGGCAGGCTGATGCTGAGGCAGGCTGAGGCTGAGGCTGAGGCTGATGCAGGCTGAGGCTGAGGCAGCCTGAGGCTGACGCCGAGGCTGAAGGCTGACTGAGGCTGAGGCTGAAGCAGGCTGAGGCTGAGGCTGAGGCAGGCTGAGGCTGAGGCAGGCTGAGGCTGAGGCTGAGGCAGGCTGAGGTTGAGGCTGTGTCTGTGACTGCCGTTGCCACTGCGACTGTCATCGCGAATGCGACTACGATTGCGAGAACAGCACAATTCTACAACTGGATTCTCATCTGAATCTTAAGGGGAATGCTTCCAGATATGCTCCTACACATCGCTGTTAGGTTGCTTTGCCGGGATAATTTTTGTGAAGGACAGCACAACGGCCCCTTAGAGTCGGGGCCCTGAAGAAGGAACCCTTTTTGTTGGGGAGGGGCTCCGTGTTCCTTCGTTGCTTCACAGTGCTCCCTGGGTTAGCCTGAGGTTTTCCATGGAAAATCTGAGTTTAATGTATGGGAAAAGGGGGCCTCGGTCTTTATTAATCGCTTCGCTCATTCCGCCGGCCCATATTGTCGCACCGGTGTGGGCTAGCCGAGTTTTAGGGCCTCTTGGGGCCGTTTTGTGCCTCTTGGGCCTCTTTTGGGCCTCTTGGGGCGCATCTTGGGGGTCTTGGGGGCTCTTGGGGGCTCTTGGGGCCTTTTGGGGGGCCTCCTGGGGCGCCAGGCGGAGGCTGAAGGAGGCTGAGGCTGAGGCTTTGCAGGCTGAGGCCAGATCTGAGGCTGAGGCTGAAGCAGGCTGAGGTGAGGATGAGCAGGCTGAGGCTGTTGCTGAGGCCTGGCTGAGGGAGTTGAGGCAGGATTGAGGGGACGAGGCGTGGCTGCAGGCACAGACGAGGCTGAGGGCTGAAGCAGGCTGAGCTGAGGCTGAGCAGGCTGTGCTTGAGGATGGGGGTGAGGCTGTAGGCAGGCTTGATGCTGAGGCAGGCTGAGGCTGTGGCTGAGGCAGGCTGAGGATGAGGCTGAGGCTGAGGCTGAGGCTCATGCAGGCTGAGGCTGAGGCAGGCTGAGGCTGAGGCCGAGGCTGAAGGCAGACTGAGGCTGAGGCTGAAGCAGGCTGAGGCTGAGGCAGAGTCAGGCTGAGGCTGAGGCAGGCTGATGCTGAGGCAGGCTGAGGCTGAGGCTGAGGCTGATGCAGGCTGAGGCTGAGGCAGGCTGAGGCTGAGGCTGAGGCTGAAGGCAGACTGAGGCCGAGGCTGAAGCAGGCTGAGGCTGAGGCTGAGGCAGGCTGAGGCTGAGGCAGGCTGAGGCTGAGGCTGAGGCAGGCTGAGGCTGAGGCTGTGACTGCGACTGCCGTTGCCACTGCGACTGTCATCGCGAATGCGACTACGACTGCGTGAACAGCAGAATTCTACAACTGGATTCTCATCTGAATCTTAAGGGGAATGCTTCCAGATATGCTCCTACACATCGCTGTTAGGTTGCTTTGCCGGGATAATTTTTGTGAAGGACAGCACAACGGCCCCTTAGAGTCGGGGCCCTGAAGAAGGAACCCTTTTTGTTGGGGAGGGGCTCCGTGTTCCTTCGTTGCTTCACAGTGCTCCCTGGGTTAGCCTGAGGTTTTCCATGGAAAATCTGAGTTTAATGTATGGGAAAAGGGGGCCTCGGTCTTTATTAATCGCTTCGCTCATTCCGCCGGCCCATATTGTCGCACCGTTGTGGGCTAGCCGAGTTTTAGGGCCTCTTGGGGGCCGTTTTGGGGCCTCTTGGGGCCTCT